TCCAGCCACTCGTCCCCAAGCCTACATAGGACATCGTGGGCATTCATGAGACATGTATTTCTCTCCAACTGTAAAGACCAGTTGCAGCAGGTACCATCAAGTGTCAGAACAACAAAGAGGCAAGGAAAAAATAGAAACTTTAAATTTACTCATATGCCAAAACTGTTCAAACAAAATGAGAACAAAGACACCAAACTAAAGGGTTCCTCCCTGCATCACATTTTCAGTTGTGATGGCAAGCTAGTCTCAGTTGGTACTTTCCTCTCCAAGAGGCTTTGTTAGCTGTATAAGCTTCCAGCTCTCCATTCTCCTCCAACAGATTGTATGGGAGCTATAGCTTCAGAGAGTGATAAGGTAAAGAACAATTAGTAAGTGCTGCAGTAACATGGAAATGGAAGTGACTTGACTTTTACTAAGAAAATATAGATATTAATCGTGTTATCTCAACAGGAAGTTCTGTATTGACTTCTTTTGAAGTTAAGAAAGAACAAAAAAATAAATTTATGCTTTCTTACACTGGGTTCTTTTCTGAGCTGAGACTAGTTTGGTAGCACTGGCTGCAATCTTGATAGGTTTAACTTGAAAGAGGTTAGCGCTCCCAGTGTTACAGATGTTATCAGAGTGGTGAAAAAGGAACCTCTGTGCGATATATATCTATACATATGTAAAAGAGTAGTTGCTGACAAGATATATATTAATATTGAACCACTGCACAATAGGTGTTTTGTCAGCAACTACTCTTTTACTTCCCCCAGAGATACTAACATTATTAAAAGCAAATGCAAGTGATGTGGTATGAAAGCCAGTACGCCGAAAAAGCCCACAGAAAGCCTGTGTGATGGTAGGAGCACACTGATACAGTTCTCACTGCGGTTATCCAGAACTATTTCTCACATACTAAAACCACACCAGCCCCCAAGACTGAAGTCCTGAACTGATTAGCTCTGAGTTGCCAAACCTGCAGCCCTAATTACTGCACCATCAACATTAACCAAGATCTTTGGCACTTTGAGGTACCTTTATGCCTGGTAGCAAGTGATTAATGGGTAAAAGAAGCCCTGAATGCCTGAAATGTTGGGGTTTTTTTATGTGGAAAGCAAGCAGTATGAATTCAAACCTTAATAAAAAGCTTAATCCTTCCTTCCCTGCCAGAGAGACCTAGTTTTCCCTGGGGAGTCCAAAAGAATGAATTAAACTTTCTCAGCACACAAGCCAAATGATTTTTATCTCCATCAACGTAATATTGCTTTTCCTCATATATAACTAGTACAAACTATAAAGAAGTATCCCAAGGACTAGTGTCCAAACTATATTTAATTTTGCAGTAAAATCTTATCATGAACTTGAACTTGCTGTCAAACAACTGCAGCGCTACAAGAATTGGGGCCAAGAGGCCATTCAGCTACAGCACGTTAGATATTTGGTATTTCGTTTTTCTGGAGAGGTAAGACAGCACTCCAGATCTTCAGCAGTTTATTGATACTTCTGAGACTCACAGTTCTTAACAGAAGACCTAAAAGGTCTATTTATTTTCAGTGTGAGGCATGGTTGTATCCAGTCTACTTCCTTCAGAGCCTCAGGGTATTCCATGTTATTTACCTATTCTTGGGCTAGAACAGATACTACCAGATTCCAGCTAAGGCACATAAGCCGGGCTCCATGCAGGACACTTGTCCCTCAACCGTTTCAGAAGGGATGTAACAACCTAGATGAGCCATGCTGTCCACTTCCATCTGCCCAGCACCCACATTTAAAACAAACAAACAAAAATCCCTGAAGTGTAATTCCAAACTATTTTGCTCTTCATACTCCATACTCCTTAGCAAAAAGCACTACTTACACAGAGGCATATAAAGTTTGGTATTGCAACTCATGATTTATAGAGGTTTGAGTGGTCAGTTTATACTTATACAACTCCATAACTAATTCTTTAAAGTGAGAAACCGTAAACTGAAATTTATTGCCTAAGTCCTAATCTGGGAGAAGGGCTGCTAGCATCAGCCTGACAATGCACATGGCAAGAAGGCCAGCAGCGGCCGTAGGAACCAGCTTTTAGGCAGGAAAGATCTCCTCTGTGCATAAGAGCCAGAAGGTGTTTGGACACAGACAAATTTATTTGTTTGTTTTCTGTCCCCAAAACAGATTTTCTGTTCTCCAGCCTTCCTGGGCCTGACAGAATTGGAAAGATACTGAACAAAAGATGTCCACAGATGAAAATTCAGAAGCAGTTATTGCTTTTTCTTAACATTCCAGATTTTGAGCTACCATAGGAACCACAGTAGCTGAATTATATTTCTCCAGTGAGTAAAACCCTTAAAACCAGACAATGCTTTCGAAAATAGGCTGTCAATTTTGCCATTAACTTATTCCTCTCTGCTCCACAACACACAAACACTTTACTCTCTTGGTATTTTTTCTTACCTCTCATTTGTATTTCTTGTTGCTCCCTCTCTTTCTTGGCTTGGATGGCAAGAAGGCGCCTGCTCTTCACAGCACTGATCATATCATCAGTTTCTATTTCTACCCGGTGCTCTATTTTCACAATCTCGTTTTTTTTCTTTTCATTTCTTCCCATCATATTCTCATCTTTCCTGTTCTCCTTGTTCTTGGCCACCATTTCTTTTCGCTTCTGTTTTTCTGCTCTCTTCTTGTCGTTTTCTTCCTTCAAGATAGCTAGGCGCTCCTTCCACAGCTCAGCTGATGTCTGCTGCTTGGCCTCCACATGGTCCTGCACTGAGTACGTCATTAGAATCCGGTGGCACAGCGCTCCAAGTATCCGCAATTTTTCTTCAGGAGTCAACTCAAAGAACTCCGATGTCTCCAGTTTCTCCAAAAACTCATCTTGTACTTCATTATCCTCAAAAGCTGCCAAATCCTTGCTTTCGTCTACATTATCTGAGACTTCACTTTCCTCTTGCACATCCGACTTGCGTAGGCACAGGCGAACCAACTCAGAAGCAGAATGCAAAGTAAGCGGTATTTCAGAAAGCTTCATTCCCAGCTCAGCATAATCTTCAGCAATTTCATCCTGCAGCAGGGTCTGCAAGAGAATGACCAGTACTCGGTTCAAATAAAGGAAGCCTCCCTTTTCCGCACAAAGCGCTTCCATCAGGGAAACTGCCGTAATGGGATACTGAGCATCTGGCATCAATAACCCTGAGTAACAGCTCAGGAACTCCACCACCATGGCGACGTCCCCAAAGAGCGTATTAGGAAGTCCTTCTGGAGTATCAACCAGTTTAAAAGTAGGCAAAGTTTTCCCTTTAAGATCTTGGTCCTCATATCTTTTCTGTTTTTCCAGTTTTTCCTTCATCTCCTTCTCCTTCCGCTCCTTTGCTCTCTCCTTCAGTTTCTCTTTCAGCTTCTCCCTTTTCTTCTTCATGTACTCCTTTCGCTGCTCCTCTGTCATGGTGGCCCATTTCTTCCTGTGCTCTAGAAGCTCGTAGCGTTTCTGTACTAACCCTCGCAAATCCTCAGGGAGACGGGCACGATCCTCATTTGACAGTAACCTAGCTGTTTTGGAGATGATGCAGGAAAGAGCACTTTTTTTGTCTTCCCGGTCTTTGTTTTCTTTGTAATAGGCAATGAGATGGAGTGCTGCAGGAGGCAGATGTTTCTGGGGTTTGCTGGAAGACCTAGGGGTGCCTCCAGAATTCCTGGGAGTCCTGGACACCTTAGTGGTACCTTTAGCCATGTCCAGCAAAGTAATTTGTTTCATTTTCATCTTAGGGGTCTTCAAGCCTTTCCTAGGAGACTTAGATTTGCCTGATGACTTCTGCCCATTCAGAACTCTTTTGCCTCTCTGCTTTTTGTCCAAGGATTTGTTGCTGCCCTTTCCCAGTCGGTTCCTCTTTGGAATGTGAAAGTTAGAACCAAGTTTAGCAGGTGACATGATTTTCATCACCTCTTCCAGCTCCTCTTTAGGAGATTTTGAGTTCTTAGAGTTTTTCACCTTCAGTGGAGAGCCAATAATAGATTTCTCCAAATGCACATGGCACCACAGAGTAGGGCTCAGTGGCTGGCCCAGGGATGATCCATCAGCTTTGGATTTCTTAGAAGGTTTCCTGTCAGGCGATCGAGAGCTCTTCCTCTTGGTTGAGGGGTTGAGAGTCATATACTAACGTTAAAGAAAGAATGACTTTAATATTAATGTTTAAAGGTAAATGAAGGTTATCTAGATGCTTTTCTGTCTTTTTTTGGCCTATGTTTAATGTATTTTTCCAATGAACAAGGAGTACTCAACACATTAAGGGTAACAGGCTTCTGCAATAGCTTTCGATATTCTACATTGTAGTCACTACATTGGTTATGAGGTCACTAGCTCATTCCACAAAGTTCACATTTAACTTTACAAAATGAAACAATCTTCAAAAAACAAGAATTTTAACTGTTTCCAACTATATCACATAAAACCACTTTGTTTCCACTTAAAAGGTTATGGGGAGGGGGTTTGTGTGGAAAACGCTGATGGTTTCAGAAACTATTTCTCTGCTCGGAGATTTCTTGGTGAGTCGCGTAGGGTTCAGTCCTGGACCCCACCCAGCTCACCACCCAGAGGAAAACTGAAGGAGCACAGAAGGGATGGGTGACAGGAGTTCAGAGACTGGTTTCTGAACAGCCTGAAAGTGTCTGGAATGAAGGTGAGACAGGATTCAATTCTGAAGTAATGTGATTGAATATCTGATTGTTTTTAAAGCTGCTCAAATAACCTAACAGCATACTTTCAGCACAGAACAGTTTAACCCAGAGCCAAAGAGAAGCTGATTTTAGGACTATCTCAGCATCTCAAATTCAGTTTCAGGATGCACCCAAAACACTAATATATTTAAAGAAGTAAAAAATAAAATACAAGAATATAACCTTTAGTTTATGGACAAAATTACCAGAAAACAGGGGCGGAAAATTTGACATTCCTTAGCAATAAAAAATTCCACAGTGGTAAGCACAGCAAAAGGTGCAGGCATCTAAGAAGCATTTATTTAAGAACAGATATACACAAATGTGATCAAGTTGAGATTGCCATAGGAATATTCAGATTTTCTGGCTCATGGATGTTCACTCGAGGGCTTTAGTTTAAGAGCCCTCGTTATGCCATTACAGAAATTTTTACTGAAGATTGCACAATCACCAAATCCAGTGTCTGCATAACTTCATTCTACAAAAATTCTGTGTTGAAATCTTTGCTGAAGAGAACTACCTAAGCAGAAAGTATCCAATGTTGATATGAATCATGATAATTACAAATTCACAAATATTAGATCTACAACTTACACTGTATATCCAACTGTCACATACAAAGTTATTTTGTCAGAACACTAACGCTGGACTAAAATTCTCCAGCACCAATTCTCAAAGTTTACAAACTCAACAAAAATTCAATCTCCATGCCTCTAAACATAAAGTTAAGGACTTCTGCAAGTCAAACCGAAGATTTTTCTTATACTAAGGGTACACCTCCATCTATCAGTGTGCTGAATAAAAGGATTTGTGCACCACCAGCAAATACTTTAATTTCTATTAAGGCAGTGACCCCAAATACTATAGCAAGGGTAAGCACAGCTCAAATATGAAGAAATTATTTTTCCCTTTAAGCAAATTTACAAGTGTCCAGAAGAGTTCAGAGAAGCTTGCTAGAAAAGGGTGTTCTCCTCCTGATGAGGAAAATGGTATCTAGCAAATATTTCTCTTCCAGTTTTAGAACAATGCTTGACAAAGACTAAGGCCATGAAGAAGTGAGTTTACTAAATGAACAAAATAGTGCTTTCTACACCCAAAGATGGATTTTAAAACAGCAGATTTCATGATATGGCATTTACTCAGTTAACAGTATATTTGGCTGGTCATTACAAAGGGCTGGAAAAGAGGCCATCCCCGCTAGAGTATTCAGTACAAAATTTGTGGTATCTGCCATCACTCAGTCCAGCACCATATGAGAACCAAGTATCATGAAGTCAAACACATCCGGCTCTTGCATTGCAATCGTGAAAAAGGCCCAATAACTGACATTACCTGGTAAGGACTATAGCCCTTCCATTTGTCTTACACCAGCAAATCATGTCTTTACTTGTAGACAAGTAAGGCAAACTATTAGAAAAATCAAGAAAAGCCAGTTACACTTCAAATTTTCAAAGCAGACCACTGTTTAAGACATTCAAGTCGTGTCACCTCTCAAAGGGTCAATATTCAAAAGAGTGGGCTCTCCTGCTCTGCATCTCTCTCAGCCGAGGTAAGCTTAAGAGCACCAAAACCCAACTGGCACACTGAAGTCTTTGCCAAGACTGTTTGACGGTGGGGAATGGGTAAGAAAGCAAAGGAGGTACTTTTAGGAATTCTTACCTTATGTGGGTCAAGCAAGAAGTCACTAAATTTACTGGGGAGAGAGTATTTCTTCACTAACACATCCTCCACTACCCACGGGGCATTCTCACACGTGCCAGCCCGTAGCGCGTTATGACGGATGAAGTACCTCAGGATCTCCTTGTTGGGAGGACGCTCTGTACGGACTAAACTATCTGCTGGTACATTGCTGATGATCTTGGAGATAACAAACAGACTGTTAACATTTAACTTCTAACCACATTACAAATACACATCATACAGCTAAAAGGAGCAAGGATCATTGTACTGCTTCATGTCTACAAACTCTGCTCTTTCAAAGCTCTCTTGTGAAGACTGAGAACAAACCAAACAGAACTTGCAGAACTGAGATGCACAATAGAGATTGGTAGGAGACTGAGTTAGGCAAAAAAGTAAAAATCATTAGTTTATGTTGCAGAATTCTTGCCAAAGCCCACTGCTTTATCTCCAAGCTTCCTCTGGCTTGTGCTTCCTGCTAACTTAAAAGCTTTTGCATAGTAATCTTTATTTTGTTTTGATTTTTTTCCTGAAATCAGAGGAGGAACTCTACAAGTGGTACTCACTAAATTGAGGTCAGCACTGCCTCTCTTATCAAATTAGCAGATGACAAAAAGCACACAGCAGTGGTGCAGCTACACAGGTCTTCCCAAAGCGCAGTTACCTATGACTCTCAGAGAAGCTCAGTTAGAACAAGAGCAGCAACTGCTGCTCATGATTTAACTAGTCTACCTCTGACCAAGTTTTATTAACTGCCTGACCAGAGATTAGGCAGTTAACAGCAACCACTCTAAAGCTATTGTAGCACTGTGATTCGGTGTGTGGTACCAGGGAATTGCACAAAACCCAATTATGTACAGAAACAGCCAGGCTAGTCAGCCTCCCAGACAACTACAGCCATCCTGCTTCCAATACCGTGACTCTGGCAGAAAGTACTTACATTGTGCTGTAGAGACACACCAACAGTGACTATTTAAACTTGTATATTCATGTTATAGGGATACAAGGACTGAATCAAGGGATTCAAGCAGACAACTCACCTTATCTTCATTTTTCAGCTTGACATCATATTTGTGTGGCAGGAATTTAGGAGGAACCCACTTCCTTTCTTCCTTCTTCAAAGAAGTGGGAAGCTTCCGAGGAGACCTACGTGCTCGATCATCTGATAAAGCAAGGTAAGACATAAAGTGTCTTAGCATTGGAGTCCAAAAAAAAAAAAAAAAAAAGGGTTCAAGAATCCAGACCAGTGCGGGACTGGGCACCCCACCCCTTGCTAGCTTTACAGTGTTCAGTTAAACTAGAACATCAGAAAAAAAATACCAAACCAAGTTTTAGAAATATCCTGCAGATGCAGGCTGGGAATGGAATCCCTAAACAGCTCTGAAGCAAGGGGTAACACTTATCCTCAAGGAGTACAAAGAACCACTTGAAGTATTTAAATCCACCTCTCCAAGACAGTAAGCCGCAGCTACCTATGCAAAGGGAGGAAATGTCTATAAAATTCCTGAAGGGGAGACAGGTTTCATAACCTTACTAGTAACCTGCTTAGGGAGCTCCTGCCAAGAGCCCTAGCTGTCTCTGCCATGCCACATTTGAAATAATTCTACTGCAGGAATTACTGACTCTAAATTAAAGTAACTTTTAAAATCATTTACCTTTGGTGGCCTTAAGCATTTTAATTATAAGCCCTATGTGCAGGAGCTAGTTTAGCTGGAGATTTTAAGCACACTTATACAACCAGTCTTTTTATTCTCAAGAGAGATGTAACAAAGAGTACAAAGGCATCACATCCTCTTGCCAGTTGGTGTTGTGTCTATTATTTCTACATTCAGATTGCAAATGTTAATCATTTAAGACAAAATCCAAGCTTACTGAAGACAGCGATCCCCAAATGTTTTCATGTTTGTGGCTATGACTCGAAGAAAATACTAAAGCAAGCACAGTAGATGAGAATAATTATCTACTAAGTATACACAGAATACTTAGTAGCAAGTAGATGCTAGACCTAAGTCAGACTTTTAAAAATATATATACACACACCATTGTCACACTGTAAGCCCTATAGCATTCAAGCTTCAGCAGCATTATAGCCTACATGGTGTAAACCCAAGTTCTGACCCCATCCCTGCCTTCCAAAATCAGTCACCTTTGTTAGGGAGCAGACCACAGATCCTACAGGCTCACTGCATCATAGACATAAACGCGCAGCTACGTCCCACATTAGTGCTACGTTTCAGATAATGCAAAGTAGAATCCTCCGCTTCAAGCAGCACTCATTACAGAAGTTTTTCTTTAAAATGAAAACCCCATAATTTTGTAACAGTGATAGTATGTGTGAAAGGAGACTAATCCTCTCATTGTAAAGTCAGGCTGAGACATAACTTTTGCCCGCTTTGGTTCCACATTAAAAAAAAATCTTGCTAAGTTCACAAATACTGAACTATGTTTTTCTGCTCAACGGCACAATGGAAGTCGCATAGAAGACACTTCAAGCTCTGTAAAAGATCCGCTTCCAGAGATCTGCCTCAACATCTTTTAAGCTGCCGAATGTTATGTTTGCTGGATTTCTACACCACACATAGCAAGCTTATATTTAAGAAAAAACAACGTGTTGCTTAGTCCTGGCTCAGTTTGAAGGACTCCGCTACACTGCTGCCTCTGTAACAGGCCTGTAAGCAACCCTTCTTTTTGGGATTTATGTTCTAGATCCTAGAAACAGGGCTAACTACACTGAATTCTATCAAACAGCACCTGGGTACTCAGGGGTGGGGAAGAAGAAATCCCTATACATTCCTCCTAAAGTTATTTCACAGAAAGCATACTTCATTTGTTGTTGCGTTGTACTGTAATAAAACTTACATTCACTACACTACTGGAACCCCATAAAGCATCCATAGGCTGTTGTCTCCTCCTTTCACCACTTATTTTGGATTTTCCAAAGCAGTATTAGCTCCAAGTACAGCTCAAGCTGCAGAACCCACCTTCAGTAGTTCACCACCCATTTTCAGAAAAACTAGCCTTTCCTCTCACTTCTGCAGATTTTCCAGAGTTCACTCCCTAAGCAACTAAAAATACAAAGTCATGTCAGACTGCACATATGATGCAATAAAGATGGTATAAACCCCTTATTTTTAGCTTCTGAAGCACAGTTGACTCCTAACCAGAGAGACTGAAGCTCTCGTTCTCTGCCCCTTTTTTCCTCCAACAAAATCAGCAAGTTTGACATACGCATTAGTAAAAATGCTAAGGTTAACTCTGCCCCCTCGTGTGTGCACAGAAAGATACAGCTCTTACATCACACACAGAGCCTGTTAACTGCTTCTAAATGCTCACTCTTGCATAGTGACCTTAACCCATACTACCAGTGGTCAAGCATGCAAATTATTAGAAAGAAAAAAAAAAATTAAATTAAGCATGGCTAGGTACAGACAGTGCACACAGCCTCCCGGAGGCACAATTTCAGGGCCTGAATCCACTAAATGAAAGCAAATCTTTACTACTTCTGTAGTATGCTGTATAAATGTAGCAAATGCTATATAGTTATTTTAATGGACTCTGGAATAAAGATTCAGTAATGAGTTTACTATGAACCTATGTTTTATTATAACCCAGAATATAAAAGCATGAGCAATAAAATATCCTTTGAATAAATGCATATATCCAAGGAGAGGAGTTAAAAGAATGAGTGCGTACTGCTTTTACTGACTGTGTTATGACTCTGCTAGCATCTTTGACTTCAAAATGTTCAGGTTCATCTTTTATAGAAAGGACAGTCCCAATTTACAGAGGCGACAACTAAACACAGGCCAGATAATCAGCTGAGTCAGAGACTGAAAAAGGTGCAGGAATCCCCTCTCCTGCAGTATTCTTCCAATCTCAGAGCTCTGTACCAGCAATGTCAGTAAGAGCACAGCTGAACATAGCTGGTTAGAATACTGCACACCAATGAATAAAATATTATGGTAGACTGTATTAAACACCCAAGCTCAAAAATGGTGCTTTAAATTTGGTCAATGAGCATTTTTAAAGGAAAAGGGACTTCCCACGCCTTTTATACAGTAGTTTGAGAGAACTACCACTCAATAAAAACAAACAAAATAAAAAAACCCCACCAAAAAGCATGCATTAGTCCCTCTCCAAACACTACTACTGTTTCAAAGGGTGAGTATAAGGCTAGATAGTTACTGCAACAGGCTTTTTTTCCTTCCTGGTTATACAGAGCACCACAATGAAATCAAAACAGCTCCTAACTTATTCCAGTACCAATCAGAAACACCTGACAACTATTAAGTTTGGGACTAGAGCTTGGTAGAAGTTGTTTTCCACTCCTGACTTTGCTATTGGCTTGCTGGGCTGTTTTCTGAGTTTCTTCTTCTCCATTTTAGAGGAGGTTATACACACCTTCCCCAGATGTTGGAATGGCTATTTACAAATGTAAACAGTTTATTACATTTATGTGCCTTTACAATTAAGCTATCCAGATTACAGCTATGCTGTGGGGTTGTGGTTTTTGTTTGTTTTACAACACTTTTTGAAATCTCTTTTAAAGAATCTTATAATTCCATTTTTAAGAAGTTACACAGGACAAGAAACTAATTTTTTTTTTTTTTTCCCTCTTTCAACAGTACCTTCTCAGAGTGAAGAAAAGCCTTGGATATCCCGTTTAGTTCTGCAGAAAGGAGGAACAGATACGAAAGAGGGGAACAATGTTTCGAAGCATGCACTATTTTGAACCCTTAGGAAAAAAACTAATATGCATTTTTTCTGCATTAATTTTGTCTCAGCATTTGAAAATCAGAAAGATAAAACAAAATTAAAAAAAACCACCAAAACTTTTTTATGTCAACTGGGGACATGAAAGAGAATTAGAGCTTGTCTGCCTGCAGAACAGGCTTTAGAACTAGAGATGTTTGTTCTGAGGATGAACATCACAGCAGAACTTTATGATTCTGCATGAACCTTCGCTGTTCCCTCCTGCCTTTTTTTAAATACACTTGTTATAGTTTCAAAGCTTATATGTTTCATGCATAGCTTTTGATATTACACCTTAGAATACCAACACATTTTCTGCTTTAAAACCGGCAAGAAAGCCAACAGCACTGATGCCACCAAAGCTGCACCACTAACAACGACAATTTCAGGATTTTCATTATGTAACAGCATATAAACATCACGTACAACATTCACAACCCAGTCCCAAGACACATACAAATTCAAATACTCACTTCCAGGTGCTACCTACTGGCATGCTGTCTTACTACTTACTCATACTTTCCCTCCTGTTGTCATCCTCCTTCAGGATAGCTTCCTTCTGGTTGTCCTGGGCTGCCTGGCTGGAGTTCTCCTTGTCACTCGATGGGGAATCACAGGCTCCGTCAGATTTCTTTTCCGAGGCTTCTTCATCAACTTTCTCCAGGGGATGTATTTTCACAACTTTCACAGGCAACATTTTCTCCTTACCAACCTGCACAGAAATATTGATGAAAACTGAACCTCAGCAAGACATGTGAACTAAAGAGCTTTAACGCTACAAGGAAGGAACAAAAGCAGCTAAGAATACCTACAAACTGTAATTTAGCAAAACATTTAACTGACATGCTCCTTGAGAGGAGCTCATGATCTCTCTCATGAAATAATTACAGTACTTCTTTCTACTACTCCTACCTGGAAGTTCCGTAAAAATTGCTATGAGAGAGAGAATTGCCAACCCGCAAGTTTTTCCAGTGTTTAATAATGCTGCTTTCTCAGCCTAAGGAAAGAGGGTGCGTGCAAGGTGCAAGCATTCTCTCAGCAGGGGGTGCTGAGAGAGCACATGTCCTAAACAGATTGATAACAGAGAACATTTTATAATTTTCCCTTATTTTTAACAAGTTTGAGTTTTCCCCATCATTCCCAGTTATGGAGGGAATTTTTTTATCATTAGAACATCGTTAGAGATTCGTAAGTAGTTGACTTCAAGTTACAACAGCTGAAGACTACTACTCCTTCTGGGAACGTTAGGTAAAAAGATTATGGCAGATTACAATTCTAAACTTCTTTTAACACATATTTTATACTGTATGGAAACATACACATGTGTCTTTCCCCACGCACACACATAGAACAGTCATTTTTCTCTTGCCACCAGTATGGTCATCCACATGCTTCTGCTTATGGAACCGTTTTGCATTCAAAGGCAGGTGCTGTCATTGGGATTCTACAGAAAAGAAATTCTAACCATCTTTCTGATAATATAAGTGGCTAACATATTCTTCCCATCTCCTGCCTTTAGATATCCAAAATTAGCTCTGTGCAAAAGCATGGAATAAAATGAAAAAGAGACCCTTACCTCAAAGTCACACTCTTCTCCCACTGCAAATTTGGTCATGATCTCCAGCCAAGCTGCATCCACCAACTTTTCCAAAGATACAGTGTTGTGGTGGACTATTTCCAGCACCAGTTTCTCATACCAGATGGGGAACTCCTCCTTCAAGCTGACCAAGCACACAAGAAGTGTTCATTATCAGGGATTAAAAGCCAAAATGCAAAGTAGCCTCCCATTTTGCAATTCCAGGAACATTAACAGCCAGGACAATGTTTGAGGCAGATGCCACATTAGCATGCAAACATCCAAGGGCTTTTTGCTGCCCTCCCCCCAGCACCCCCCCAAAGTGTTAATTGGCATGACAATACAAATTGTACTTGTCCTTCCCCGAAGGAACACCATAAAGCATTCTGGAGGAGCAGCACTGACTGTGAACCCTTTCTCGCTGGTTATTACGGCGTCTCTATTAGATGTTAAATATATACCAAGACCATGTCATTATTCTGGGGCTTGTTACTTTAAAGTTTTTGCTCCCAACAATAACACGATGCTGATGTACATTTAACATTTCTTTCTTCCCAGACTGCTAACAGAGTAAAGAAGATAGAGGCAGGTTTACACAATCAAATTATCTTTCCAGAGAAAAATATTTTGTGTGTTTCACCAATCTTCAAACTTTTTCATTCAAAGAAGAGAAAGGACTGTTACAAATTTACTTGACTGATTTCCTTTGCAAAAGATCAGGTCAGTTAGCTGACAGGAGTACTAAGACATACACTGCATAAAGCTTTCTGGCAAAAAAGTGAAGTTACTGTAAGGAGGAACAAAATATTCCACTTTTCCAAAACCCTTTTAGCTTCCCGGGCTCGGGGATCCACTGCTGACAATCCTCAGCTATATTTGCTGTTCTTACAACCACCATGAACAAATTTATTCCTTTAGCAAACTGCCTAAAAATGAACTTTTTTTATTCAGACTAGTGTCAGGTATTAAAGCAGCCAGTAAACTGCCTGGGAAGCTTTTAATCCCGTTTCAAAGAGACAATACCAAAATCTCATTTCACAGAGTCTTATTTTTCCCCCCACATTTACAGAGACTATAGTTAAATTTGTTATTGAGAAATCTTTCATTTATATTTCGTTTACATTTCTTAACGTTTTCAGAAGCGGCCAACCAATTCAACATTGTTAACAGAAAGTAAGCGACACTAGATCAGTGGGTTTTGACTCAGGATTATAAATTTATGGAGCTCGCTCTGCACCCTCCTCTCAAACAAGAACACTAGAGAGGAAACACTGAAGACTGTAGTACTTCAACCGTCACAGAAATTAGGACTATTAGCAAACAGGTTTCTTATTTGTTGCCTTTAAGGATGTAATTAACCTCAAATGATGGGGAATTTCTCCTTAGGCTAAGGCTATTAACTCTTTTGCCAATGAATCACAAATGTGGATTCTTCATGAAAGACAGGAAGCAGAAAATTTCACCTCTTAGGTAGTACTGCTGACAATCTCCCCAGTTTAAATCCAGGGAAAAAGTCCAAGTGACCAGTTCACAGAAGACAGAAATACGCCATTTGTTTGACATAATTCCTACAATTTGGTAATCACAAAGTAAGTTATACATGTTGGTTGAGCCAAGGACTTGCACCTTTACAGAAAATTCACTTTTAAGGCAAGGTCATGCTGGATCTCAGCCAATGATTCATCGCCTCTGCTGTTTGCTAGAGGGGGAGGTCAGGGACAAGGCAGCCCAGAGGAACACTGGTGGTCTGAACAGAATAATGATTCTTACTGGTTTCCCTTTGTTCTTTCTTGTTCCAAGTAGACCAGAACCCCAAAATCTCACTTCAAAATAATTTATTTAATACAACAACTGATTCCAATGCAGATTTGGAAAAAATAATTGCAGCTGTGGACCTGGCTGATGTGTAACACTTCAATGACCTCTTTTTACTGTAATTTTACTTTAGGTCCTTCAAGATTGATTTTTTTTTTTCCCCTCTGAAAAATTCCCATTACTCAAGGGGCTTTAAAATATGCCAAGTACCACAGGCTGAACTATTTTGGTTCAAGCAATACCAAGATTCAGCACTAAGTACATTACTCAACAGCATTATTGATGGCATCAAATTTGGACTTCATTTACTTTCTGCTCCAGAATCCCCAGATCTACTTACAGCCAGTAAAAAGCTACTTACCTCACCTCATAAACTAGCAATCACGTATCATTCCCAAGTCCACTCTTTTGCCCCAATGCCTAAAGATAGACACATACCAATTTCTTCGCTGGTACTTACAGCTCAGCGACTTCCTGCTCCTCCTCCCAAGCCTCTTTGTGCGTCAGCTGGCTGCTTCCTGTGCTTTTGCACGTCCATATTCGTTCGCTGTACCTCTCCAAACGTGCTTCATACTCTCTGCAGAAGTGGGAGCTCAGGAAAATAGGATTTATGCAGTGTAGACCATAATCACAGTAGCACAAGACAATCAAATTCAATTAAACCCTTACTATTGGAGGGCACAAAGGCCGAGGATTGCTACAGTACAGTTTGACCCTCTGTCTACCATGGAGATGCTGCATTAAATCCGATGGGTTTTCAGACCAGAATGCACTGGAGCTTTCTGCAGTTGAAATGCCCATCCTGTTCAGCACTGTCATACAGAAGGTGCCACACCACTGTCAATTCAGCTGAACTGCACAAGGGGAATGCATATGTCTGAATGTTTTGTGGCATCGCTAAGTTAGTTTTCAGCTTTTTCAGTGTGATTCATTGGAAAACAGCATAAACAATACCACAGGCACATGCAGGAGACATGGCACAGACTGCCGCTAAATGCCCGACAGTAACTCTTGGGGAGCTACTACTATTACTGCCTCAGGGTGGTGTTACAAACTCTAGATGCAAATTACCAGTTTACCCAGTACACCCAACCTTTTGAGGAAAAAAAATCCAGAAGCTTTGAAATTGAAATCACTAGAAAGGCCACCTTTCCTTTGGTTTCCAACATGAGCAGCCTCCCGCGTTAGCACAGCATGAGGATCTTTCTCACCAGCTACATCACCTGCTTCCTGTATCACAACCTGTCTCAACGTTAAGTTTTTCTGCCCATTAGGATTAATGAGCATACAGACAAGTCACCATGGTGCAGACAGCATTATGAATTACAGCATTAGCTACTCTGTTGTAAGCATCTGGGGCTATGCTCTACTCATTCCACCTAAGGGGTAATTAACTGTCAGTGTAAACAGATATAAGCTACTTCATACTTTCTATGGATAGAACATGTACACACACAATTATCAGAAAAGTTAGCACAGTGTAAATCCATACTAGTTTACCCCGCGGCAGCCTATTTAAGTTGCCATATGCTTACAGATGGTAATTTAAGTGGAGAAATTATAAGAGAGGCAAGAAAAGCATCTTTTCTTCTCCTGCAGCGTGCTTTCCAGCAGAAAAGCAAGCAAAGAGTATAAAGCATACTTGTAACAACTACAGCAGCTCAGCCTGCTGCAGCACAAGGGCTAATTATGTGAGTCTCTGTGGGAACAAGCAGATTGCTTCACACTCCTGCAAAGGCAGAGCCACCAGCCACAGCAAATCACTCATCGTATCCGGCATATTCTTCATCTTTCAAGAAAATTTTACTGCAACTAAGTTTGGTTGTTTTTTTTTTAAGATTCTTATTAGGAAGCCAAATTACTACTCCAAAGCCAATTTTCTTGGACTTTTCTTCACAGCCCCAAAGTAAAGCACAATGAGGTACACAAGCTGCACTGTGGACATCAATATAGAAGTATCTTATAGCCAAAGCAACTGGTGCTATGCAAGAACAGAAGCAAGGAACAGAGCCACCTCCGGAGGCAGTTGCCACTGCTAGCAGTATTCCCTCTACCTGCAGCAGGTCTTAAAACCAAAGGGAAGTCCTGTGGTTCCCCAGCTTACCCTGCTTGAGGAGTCTCCTGCTCTTCAGGGCATGAACAGAGATCTGAAAGTCATCACCCCACTAAGTTTTGAGCCCTCTGGTTAATTCTTACCCCCCCCCCCCCCCCCCCCCGAGGTTTCAAACATGCCCAAGCGTGCTGCAGGGCAGGGGCAGGAAGCACCATCGCTGCGGTGGGGCAGTGGCAAGGAGTAACCACAACTTACAGAGGAACTCATCTGCACAGCACCACCGACAAGAACAGAAGTGTGATTTTAACCAATTTTTGTAGTAATACTGAACTATGAGGAAAAAGAAAAAAGAAATCAAATAAGAAACCAGGAGTCCTGCTTGTATTTACAGCAGTTAACCACTTTAATAATGACTAAATTGCAACCATACTACTATTCTTTCCTATGCCTTTCCCACAAAGAGAAGAGTTAAAAGTAAATTCAGTCCTCACTGTAGATAGGAGACTAAAGCAACAGTGGTCATCAGCTTCATTCAGCAACCTCACCTTCACTTGCCCCTAGGCTTTCCTTTTGCGCATTCGTGGATGCCATCCAGACAGAAAGGACTCATAGCTGCCACAAGAAGAGTGCTAAAGGAAAGACACACTTCTTAAGGGGTCAGGACATTGCCTTAGCAAACCTTCAGTAGTCTAACTACAAACAAATATTTGACATAGGGCTGGGAAGTAAAATTATGGTCTACTTCCCTCCTATATTTATCAACTTTCTTCTCTCTAGACCTGTGAGAAGATTCCTTTCCTTCCAAGCAAGGAGAGCAAATAAATGCCGATCTCCAGTTAAAAAACAATGGAAAAATAAGTTTTTTCCTATTTCCCATATTGACAGGAGAATTCTCCCCAAGAATTTCCCCCCCCTTGTATACACCTATGAGAACAAGCTTAATCAACCCACATTTTTCAGATCAACACTCAATTTAAAAGCAGCAGGTATAGCAATTGGCCTGTCCAGCTCAGCTCTGCCTCTCAAATGCAATTTAATTCCACCTACAGCTGGTCAGCTCATCCAAGACTGACCCCAGACACATTCCTTAACCAGCGCTCTAGACTCCTGCCCATCCCGCCTTTGTGCTCTGCCATAAGCTCCCAAGCCAGGTTCTGCTTTGAAATCCTGGGGCCAGCACAAAGCCAAAATGCAGGAGGATGTTTTTGCAAAGTTTGCTACAGGCCAAACTTTCCACTACACATACACTATTTGTCCTTTCCACTCAGACTGGAAAAAAAACACAAGAAATTTCAGACTGCTCAGCAGGTCCGATTCAGGACTACAAGTGAGGGCTTACTGGTATGCCATAACCAACCCATCTCTCTACACAGTTGGAGCTGCCATTGCCACAAATTCCCAACGCAATAATAAATAAAAAACCCTGGACGCCAGCTACTTGTGAACATTCCCCAAAAAGCCACGAGTAACAGACATGTTAAATTAAATAGCTGACTACCCACTGTGTAACAGTTAATACATCACATCTGTTTGCATCACGCTGAAGATCACTGAATGTTGAAAGGCAGAAAACAAAGTAAACAAGGGGCCCTTTAAAAAAAAAAGTTTAAAAGTAAACAAGCTAACCACTGCACAAGACAACTATTAAGCAGATACAAAGTTTACTTCTTCCTGGGTTATTGATGCTCTCACAGAAGTGACCATCAACTCAAAAACAGCTTTAGAGTATCTTAAGGGTTTCCACTTGCATTATCTAAGAAGGCAAACTTACCAGGAAGGTCAGTACATTTATAAGATGCTACTGCCTGGATGGGTGGTAAAGTTCTCCTAGAACTGCAAAGCATGACACAACTGTGCTTTGGTGCTGCCATCTTTTAGCCAGAGTTTATCCGGTTGATATCACACACGAAGATGTGAATGACAGCCTTTAACCTGCATACCAAATGTGGCCCAATTCCTCATGTTCTGTGCTCCTTACTATACAAAACCACTGACTAAAGGCAGATAGCAAGTTTTATCTGGGGAGGAAAGCAACATAGTTTCCCAAAACCGTACACTGACAGCTGAAGGAAAGCCCCTTCTTGCCAATCCCATGAAGTTAGCTCTCTGAACCGAGCACTTCTCTTGAGCCAGCAGCGCAGTTTTCCAAACCACAGCCAGTATAGCAGAACAGACGCTGCAGCAGTCCCATATGCTAATGGAAGAGATGATCTGCTCACCAGGGAACAAATTCGATGTTTCGGAGACCTCAAATGCTCAGTACATGTGCCACAGACCAGATGCACACGTGATACAAACCAGACAAGACCATACCACACGTGAAGCATTTGCCTGACACCTCAGATATCTCACAGCAGATCCTACAGAGCTCCTGCAAGGATGAGTCTACCTCTGACTGTCCAGCAATCCACCCATCCCCACACCCACACAATTAACAAGGCTCATTCCACATCAGACTATCAGAAGTCCAAGGTTTCGCCAGGACACAGTGAGCTCTACGCAGCATGGTTTCTCCTAAAAGGTTTTCAGGGGATTTGGCAGTCAAAGGAAGCCACATAAAGCTACAAAGGAATACCAGACCCGAATAAACACCTGAGCTCTGATAACCAGCCCATCCATCTGTCCACTGCTGCTAGACACTTTAACACATGCCCACAGGGCAGACATCTCTCCTCGTATACAATACCCCCATCTCCATTTTTTGTTCAACACAATCTACAACTGCAAATCCTAACAAAACAAGAGTCTTAAGAACTTATGTTTTTCAAATACCTCATTTGTAGTTGTGCAGTATAAGAACCTGTATACCCTTTAGGGGAAGGGCTGACCAACAGTCTTTCAAAGCGGAAAAGAAAAGTTCAGGAGATAATATTCTGCCAGGCATCAGCATAAAGGACACCGAGCACTGCTCTGGGCGAAGACTCGGGTACCTCTTGACACGTCCCCTCTGCAGGCCGTTCTCAGTTCACAAAAGCAATTCCTCTGCGCTATCTAGGATAAACAGAAGTGACAAAAAAAAAAACCCCTCCAAGTCTTCCTTAGGTAATATCTCCCTTCAACTTACTGATCCATTTGCAATTTTCTGTTCCACACTTTGCCTAGGTTATACACAGTCAACAAAGCAAGACAGAAACCCAACATTACTTAGTTTCTCTTTTTAGCCTCAGAATTTCCATCTGCCAAGATGAACTTTCTAGAACATGCTAGGCTCTCTGCCTCTCACGGCACCCCATGAAATACCTTCTCAAAAAGAAGAGCATCCCTCTAGAACCTTAGTGCTTGCATTGGCTTCCTCTTTCTTTCTGACACTGGAGCTAATGCCATCCCCTCTGAGGATGAGAAACCATCCCTTTTTTTCCTTAATGTTAATACCACCCAAGTGTCTGCAGAACCATGTCCTCCATCTACTCACAGATCCACAGGAGCCATACCAACAGACTGGTGCTCTCAGAAGGTGCCCCATAACTCCTCTTTGCTGTTCCTACAAGGTAGACGAACCTTAAAGCCACTTCTTTTACAAGAGTAGTAATTAGGCTTAA